CAAATGGGATTGCATGTTTATACATACCATGTTTGCTGTGACTTTAGTTTATTAATTTTGTTCACACATATATGGCTCCACATGTGCTTCATCACCAAGGAAGCAGTTACTAGTCCTTCCCATCACCAGTTCTTCCATCTCACCTGTCTACCCTTTTCCCTTGATTTTTGGAAATATCATTTTTTTTCTTCCTGGTGTTATTAGCATTGTTAGGTTATAATAATCATAATGTCTGTAACAGTAAGAAGAGTATTGATGTTGAGCCTTGAAAACTTCTTGTTGACTGAGTACTTATGGAGCCATCAATATGTAAAGACAATTCACAAAACAAAACTACTATGGCATTATGTATTCCCAGTGGCAATTGGTTAATTTGCATATTGAATGACTTTGGGCTCACTATGTCAAGCAGTATAGGAGGAAATATGTGAAGAAAATTAAGAAAATCTACAAAAAATTGTCTTGAATGAAAAGTGTATACAAGGTTGCTATTTGAATTTTAAAAACATTCATAAGAGCTAAGATCCTTAGAACACTGTGTACTGGGTTGGTGAGAAGTGAAACAATATCTGGGTTAGTAAGGGTTTTTCTCTCATAGCATAAGGCTGCTGGGGAAATCTGATATTTTAGTACTCTTAGTAGTCAAAGGGTAAACAAATATTCAAAATAACCAAATGTGTTGTTTGGGAGAAAACTTCTAAATCTATAGTTTTCAGACAGTTCTATGCTCTACAACTCATGCAATGATTTAATAGTTTAATTTTTGCCAGTGCTAGACTGCACATATTATTATTAAGTAAGAAAATGAGGCTAATGAATTTACCTCCTGTAAATGAAGAGAACCTATCTAGTCAACACAGATTGTTGATGTATAGGTGATATGGAAAGGGAAGGGGAAATATATGCTAGAGACAGCAATATTACTTATTAGTACAATGTGTTTTAATTTCTTAAAAGCACTTCTGCTTTATAGAGCAATTGTTTTCCATCTTCTTTCCTATGTATTTCTTTCCAAATATTAGAATTTATGAAAATTTGTCAAAAAAAAAAAAAAAAAAAAAAGTTTGTGTTTGTTTATACAGTAACAGTGCTTTTATTTGATTTTTGAATGTTACCAGATGAAATCGTACCCTGTTACTTCTAGGATGACTGCAAACTTCTTTGGCCAGCTGTACAAGGTCTAAGTTTTTTCTCATTAGATAACATAGGATATGCCTTTAGAATGCATGCTCTAAAAAGAATATGATTGATTTAGGTCTTGTTGCACTGTTTTTTGCATGCACTCTTTAAATATATGATATAGATAAATTAGTAGTCTGAAGCTTTGTACATATTGTGTCCAAACTGTTAGGACAACTAACTGCCCATGCATAGAACAGCCACTCACCTGATCTGTCTGAAAACTGACTTCTAATTCTGCAATAATGCTGTACCACTGTGAACACTTCTCCCAATATAGAAAGCTGTGAATTCAAAATAGTTGATTATTACAGTATGTATATGATGTTGGAAAAAATGTACCAGCTCTACTGTCTTCTTGTTCATTTTATAATCTGTACATTTCAGAGGAAAAAAATACTAGTTTGAATAATACATTAATACCTATAGTCTGCATTACGTTTTTGTCAAATGAAAACTAACATTGGAATTAATATTGGGTTTACATGTCACTCCATCCCAATATATGTATGATCCTTTCAGGTCTTCACTTCAAGTCACTCCTATTCATACATGTGGTTGATTGCTCATCACTTTAACCTGAGATGGCACAAAGGATTAGAGTGATGTTTATTTTTTCTTTGATTACTATCAGTGTTTTCATAGCCTTATGGTACTCATCATGTCAGTGAGAGTATTAGCAGTATTGATATTAATAGCATTAAAGAAATAAAATTTCCCCTCTAAAATCAAGGAATTTGGCAATAGGTAAGGTCACATCAAGTGTATTATTTAACTCCTTGGTAGCCGAGCACCAGTGGAGCCATGTGTGCAACAAAATTTACAAGACTAATGAGGACAGTATATGTACCTACATAAATAGGGTTAAAATGGTTTTCATAGTTCATATTACAGTTAAAATCAATGCTGTATGGAGTCCTGAAGGCTGTCTTCTTTCACAGATTGTTTGCATATGGCACAACCAACTCAGATTTTGAAGCTGCTCAAAATGAAAACATATATGTGATCAATTACTCATACAAGATTTTTAGTCAAATGAGAATCTACCTTTAAGTCTTGCTTTGCTTTTTTTTTTATTAAAAGGTATTGGAGATATGATTATAGTATAAGAAAGGAAGAAAAGGTACTGTTATTTGAAATTGTGCATGGAGTGATTTGGTCATCAGACACGAATACAAATAAAAAATCTTTAACTTTTCAGTTTTTCTACTGTCATCATCCTACATAGAAGGATCTGCCATTTGAGTTCAGTTGTTCAGTTCATGAGCTGGGCTGGAATGTGCTAATGAGTTATAGATCTCAAAGACTGGCATATGTATAA